CGTGGCGCGGGGGGACGGGGACGGCCGCCGGCCCCCCTGCCCCGGCCCCCGGCCGGTCCCACCCGCAGCGGCGAGGGGCCGGGGGCCGCTCCCCCGGGCCGATCTCGGTTCCTGCCACCTTGTCCAGGCCTAAAACAACCTGCGGGTTTGGTGGTTTGGTTGCTTGGGTTTTTTTTCTCCCCCCTCCGACTCATGCATATTTATGGCAACGGAGCCGAACATCGCGATGGACGTACGGGAGCATTTGGGGGTGTTGGGATCTCCCCTGAAGGTAAGGCAGGGCAGGAGAGGGGGAGCCCGGCCGTGGGGCTGCGGGGCACCCCAAGGGGGGCTCTGCCAAAATTAAGGGCTCGGGCAGGACCCCCCTTCCACCGGCAGACCCCTCTTCCCCGCGCTCGCCTCATCTCCTCCTCCCCAAAACTTTCCCAAGTACCAGCGGCCGCTGAGTTAACCTGCCCGTGGCCAAACATCACTTCGGGGGCTCCGAGGAGAACTCGCAGAGCGACAAAAGAGAACCGAAAGGAGGGTCAAAATAAAGTACGAACCGGTGTCCCGCTTGTGTCCCTCTCCAGGGCGAGTCCCGGCGAGCCGTCCCGCGGAGCAGCCGGGTTGCCCTCCTACTTGCCGGTGGCCGAGGCCGGGCGTCCCACCGCACGCATCCTGCCGGCGAGAGAAAGAGGCTGCGATTTGTAAGCTCGCACAAATCTCGGAGGCTCCAAAGGGATTTTAAAAGCTGGGATCTAGTCCTTTTTCTCGAGTGAAGTCAGTCGTGTCCGTGGGCTTTGCTTTTGGGTTTTGGTTTTTTTTTTTTCCTTGCTTTCTTTTTTTCCCCCTGTTGCACTCCCTCTCTAGCAAATAAGCGATTTTTTTTTTTTACTCTCGTCCACGGGGCGTTAAAGGGGGAAAAGAGAGAAACCGCTTTGTCCGAAATCGCAGGCAAATATCATTTTTACAAGCTCTCAATTAGCCATCCCTTGGATTAGCACCTTCTTACGCTTCCTCGCCAGAATAAAGCAGCCGTAATCTTGTTGCTATTTTCCCCTCGGGCGCAGAGGGCTTTGTGTTCCCTCCCCCCAAAAAAACTTTTCACGCCCCCCCCGAGCCAGGAAAAAAAACAAAAAAACAAAAAAAAACCCCCAAAATACC